CTGGGTTAAGGTATTTATATTTTTTCTTTTTTATATATTCCTTTAATTTCTAATTTTATATAGTTTATTCCTCATTTGCATTCAATTTTCAAAATTTCTTTCCCGTCCAGTGCTATAATACATTTTTTTCCTCTCCAGCAATATGACAAATTTTGTTTTAATCTTATTTTTCTGTTTTAAAAATACATTTCTAACTAGTTGATCCTAAGGAATTTATTTAATGTAAGGGGTGAGGTAAGAATTTACCTTGCTGTCTTCCTCCAAATTTACAGCCAATTATTCCAACAATAACTAATCACTAAATAATTCTTTGCACCTCAGGTGATTACTGGTGCTCCCTTTATCATAAACTGACTTCTAATAAGTATATTAGATCAATTCCTAGTTTATCTATTATTTTCTATTAATTAGGGTTTTTTTTTTCTTGCATAGTCCTAGGGTCTTTTAATTACGGACTTACAATTGTTTTAATATATACTACTCCTTTTGCCTGTAGTTCTTTGCAAAATTTTCTTTACCATTACCTGTATGTTTCTTTTAGACACATGTGGGAATTATCTCCCTATAAAATATACTATCCAGTTGGGGTTTTGATCAGAATTGCATTTAACATAAAAATTAATTTAGAATTTACATTTTAAATATTAAAATTTATTCTTCCTATCTAAATCTTGCCTCATCTCTATTTCATATTACATATATTAAGAAATATATATTTATAGGAATATGTTTTTAGAAATATAAATATGTATCTGTCTAGGTGGGTTTTTTCTTTTTTGGTTACACACAAACCTTTTTGCATTTGTTGCTTTGTGAACAGGGTTTTTAAAATTAGACTTTTGTGATGGTTATTGCTTTCACATAGGAAGTGTGTATGTGCACATATGTGCCTTATAACTATCCACTTTATAGAGCTAAGCATTGAAAAGAACACAGTCTGTGCAGTTTCTGGAATTGCTCAGACTTGAGTTTGATTCCCAGCTCTCTGCTACTTAGCAGATGCCTGACTCTGAGAATACAGTGTTACAATGTTGGACATATAGGATTTTAATAAATGATAACTGTTACTATTAGATTTCTCTTTAATAGAGTTTCCTGTTCATTTCTTTGGGTTTTCCACTTAAACAATGGTATCATCTATAATTAATGATAATGTTAACTTTTTCTTTCCAAAATTTAAATCTCTTTATCTGTTTCACGTCTTATTGCATTGGCCAGAAAAACTTGCAAAACAATACTAAATAGTTTTTTCCTTTCTGGGAGATTTTTATTCTTATTTTTAAAGGAATTCCTCTAGCTTTTCACTCTAAAGTATAATGTTGGCTGTGGTTTGAAATGAATACTGTTTATATGTTGCAGGTGTGTATTACAATTCTTATCTTTTAAGTGTTTCCAAGTTAGAAATCAGTTGTCTTGGAAGATTCATACAATTCGAACAACTTTGTTTATAAATTGCAATATTAATGTTACCTAAGAGAAAAGATAAAAAGGAGCAGTCCTATCTTGAATATACAGTTTATTATTTCCTCTAAAAATACCTGTCTGTTTGAGGTCTTTATGAGTCCTCTTATGGATTTTAATACTGAAAAGCAATTAATCTCCTGGGGGTGAGCTGGTGATGGTGGTAGGCTGGGAATCTTGCTTTTAATGGCCTAATTGCTAGCTCCTTTACATAGAAATCTGTACCTTGCTGTTACAACTGGTTTGGGTTCTACAGGAACCTTTAATCTTTGATTCTTAACTTTGAATTCCCATGTATGCCAAAACTTAGAACATTTAAATTCTAAGTAGAAACCATATTTAAATTTTATAATCTTAAACTAGGTATATTCTTCTGATTAAAGTCTATTGGTACTAACAATTGTCTTCCTGATATAAAAGTATTCTATATTTATTGTAAAAATTTGAAAATGTGGATAAGCACCAAAACAAAAATGGCACATACAGTTTTGTAAGATTTTTTTCACTTGCTGTGTTTTGAATATTTCCCAGTTTTAAGTAGCTTTATATTTAATGACTGCTAGTGGTTAACATGTTATTCCATCATGAGAATATTTTACTATTTATGTATCAAAGCCATATTAGTAGACATTTAGCTTGTTTGTAGTTTTTCATAATGGTAAATAATTTAAAGACAACCATTCTTATACAAATATCTTTGTTATATCCCTGGAGAATTTTCTAGAATTCTTTTTTTTAGAAGTTGAATGGCTGACTGAGAGAAGTATATATTTTTTAAGATATAATGCTTAAATTTTCAAATCTCTGTTTAAGGTAATTGAAAGCAATATCATCCCCATAACAAATATCTATTTTATCAGTTTTGCCAAAATTAGATGTTGAAATTTTAAAATATTTTTGCTAATTTGTTAGGGAAAAATATCTTACAGCATGGTTTAATGTACATTTCTTTTGTTACCACTGATGTTGAATGTTAAAAATATGTTCATTAAGTATTTATATGTTTTCTTGTGTAAATTACTATCCCTATTTTGTAGTTGAGGTGTTCTTTTTATATTGACTTTTTAAAAAAGTCAATAAAGTATAAAAATTAGGAGCATGGAACTGAGAAAGAGTTGTATATCCAAATCTCTGTTCTGCTACTTATTAACTCTGAGACTTTGGACATACTACTTCTTAGCCACTCAGTGTTTCCATTTCTTTATTTTAAAAGTGGAACTGCCCTGACCAGTGTGGCTTTATCCCGCAAACTGAAATGTTACCAATTTAGTTCCCAGTCAGGACACATGCCTAGGTTGCGGGTTTAGTGTATGAGAAGCAACCAGCTGATGTTTCTCTCTCACACTGATGTTTCTCTCCTCTCTTTCTCCCTCCCCACCCCAAAATAACAAATAATAAAAAATAAAAAATACAAGTGGAATGAATTGTAACTCCCATATAGGATTATGATGAGATACTGTGTGCAAAGCACTCAGTTTATCTTACACCTAATAAGGGCTCAATACAATGTAACTTTTATTATATTGAAGTTCTTAACCAACTCTGCCTGTAAAGATGCTTTTTTCCTAGTTTGTAATTTCCCTTTCAAATTAGCCTGCTGTCTTTTATGTATTTAAATTTAAAATTGTTATATAAATGAAATGTGGCTTATTCCTTTATGGCTACTCCTTTTCCCTAAAGAACCCTTCTGTACCCCTGATGATCAGATAAATATTTACCTACTTTTTTTCTACATCTTTTAGCATTTTATATTTATATTTAGTTCTTTAAAACATTGGAATAAGTTTTATTTAGCCTTTGGTGTAAAGTTAGTGTGAAGTTACTATTTGGTATAATTTTTTTTCTTTTCTTAAAGAAATTTACTGATTGATTTTAAGAGAGAGGAAGGCTGAGTGAGAGAAAGGAAGAAAAAGAAAAGGGAGGGAGGAAAAGAGAAGCATCGATTTGTTGCTCCACTTATTTATGCATCCATTGGTTGCTCCTTGTATGTGCCCTGACCTGGGATCTAACCCACAACCTTGGCTTTTGGGGATGATGTTCCAACCAACTGAGCTACGCAGCTAGGGCAAATTTTTCCCTTTCAGTTGGTCAAACTGTGTTAACTAATCTATCTTTTCGCTCCACTTATTTGAAATGCTATCTTTATCATATACCAGATAGTCTTAGATTTTCTGCTTGATCCCATTGATTTTTCTGTCATTACATTGGCACCATAGCATAATGTATATAGTATATGCGCATTATGTATATTCTAGCATTATTGCATGTATAATATCTGGATACATTCATCCTCTCTCCCTCCTATTTTTTTTTTTTTTGAAACTGGAAATTTGTTTCTGTATGTAACTACAGACTTGCAGCCTACTCAAGACTGAAATTTTTCTGTCACTCTATTCAGTGCAAAAGAACGAACTTGGGCTTTAGACTTCTGGGACTTGGATTCCACACCTGGCTCCACCACTTCCTAATTGCTTAAGTTGGGCATGTCATTCACTCTCTGTGTGCCTTGGGCTTTCTATTGAAGTAATCATGTGAAAATCAGCGCTTATTCCAAATTCATCTGAAACAATAGGACCAATCAAGAGTCACATCACTCAGCTCTGTCCCGATCTAGAAAATAAGTCATTGTTTTAATGCTGCAGAAAATTTCTCAGTATTTTGATTATAACTGTTGTATCTTGTCTATTATGACCATAATACAATTTAAATAACATGAAGGTGGTATGAGTAACTTCATAAGCACCTTATATGCGTACACATCACACATGTATAAATTTAGCTCCAAAACATACTCATAATGATGATCCTGTAGCAGTTAAGAAATAACTGACGGGGCACTTTTCTGGTGTTTAAAAAAAAGATTATATGAGGAACATCATGCAACCTTAACACTTCCATTGGATTTAGATGTGTGTTTGGCTGCAAAATATAACTATTAAGCATCAAATTTTTAAACATATAACAGTTGCAGTTACATGGTATACCTACCACGAGCCAGAAGCCTTGCATGCCTTGTGCATGTCACCTCTTTTAATTCTCATGACAGTGCCCAGGTGGTAATGACATCTGTTTTGTAGTCGAAGGAACTGAAGTTTGCCAGATTGGACACCTGTATTAGTGACAGCCAGTAAGTGATAGGGCCAGGATGGAACCCAGAGCTGTCTCCTGTCCCGGTCACTGCTTTTTCCATGTAATCTGCCACAGCCAAGCACATTTCAAGCTCTTGTTTTGCTTTATAAAATCCAATTTCTGAGAAGCTGGAACAGAAAGAAAAACTATTCTTTTAGCTGAAGCCTGAAACTTGAGTTTCAATTTAGGAATAAAATATGATCTGATAACACAATTTCATGACTGTAATCCATAGGATATATGAAGAACTGATGCAATTATAGTGTGAAGAGAAATTGTGGGGAAAAGGAATGGATTTGACATGTGTTTTAAAATTTGAATTACCTGTATTGTCTATCACATTCTGTAGATAATTGCTTCCAATCCTTGACTTTGATGCAGATACTTATGACATTAAAGATAGTCACGTCCTACTTACCTGGCAGGGGAGATGCCACGATCACAGAGGAGGTTTTCCCAGGGCGAGGCTTGTCCACTGCGCTCCGGGTGTGCCGACCCCTGCAGTGTCCCCAAACGTGGGAAGCTCAGCTGCATAATTTGTGGCAGTGGGGGACTGCATTCATGCTCTCCCCTAAAAATAAAAAAAGAATTTAAAAAAAGATAGTCACTTCCTGTCATGGATTTAATGAAATTATTTTTTTCCTTATAACAAAATCATTGCATGTTTATTGCAGAGAAATAAAAACATGGAGATAAACAGAATGGTGAAAGAAAAAATCCCTCATACTCCCACATCCTGAAAATAACCACTGTTTAACTTTTTGGTGTTCATGGTTCTGTCTTTTTTACATACATTTATATGCGAATATATAATTTTTTTTACAAAAAATGGGATTATCTATTTGTAGCCAGATTTTTTTCACTTAAAAATATATCGTGAACTTTTAAAATGAAATTAAGTATTCTCCAGGATGATTTTTTAATTTAATTAATTATAGTTGGTATACAACATTATATTAGTTTCAAGTGTGCAATATAGCGATTCAACATTTTTATACCTTATGGTGTGATCACCCAACTCATTGTAGTAAGCATCTGTCATCGTGGAAATTAATCACAATATTATTGATCATATTGATCCCTAACCCCTACCTTTTTGACCCATTTCTCTCACCCCCTCTCCCCATTGGTTTCTGTCCAGGATCATTTAAAGTATTAGTTTCATGGATGTATGATAGTTTAGTAGTTAGTTTCCAATTCTTAAACAGGTTGCTCCCATTGCCTTTACTTGTGGGATTATCAGAAATTTGTCTTACTATATCATCTAACACTGTTCTGTTCCTTTAGGCTCTTCTCATACCACCGCGTTTACACATAGGTAATTATATCCCAACATCCTCGCATATAGTTCTAATGAAACTGTTCTAGTTTACAGTTATTCCCTACACTCAGGCAGATAAGGTTTAGGCTTTGGAGGCTCTATCAGTCTGCTAAGGCTGCCATAACAAGTTTATACAGACTGGGTGGTTTAAGCGACAGACCTTTACTTCCTCACAGTTTTGGAGACAAAAAAGTTCAAGTTCTAAGTGTCAGCAAGGTTGGTTTCTTCTGAGGCCTCTCTTCTTGGCTTGTTGATGCTCTTCTTCCTCTGTCTTACATGGTCTTGTGTGTGTGTGTGTGTGTGTGTGTGTGTCTTCATCTACTCTCCTTATAAGGACATCAGCCATTTGGAATAGGTCCCCCCCTAAAGACCTCATTTTACCTTAATTGCCTCTGTGAGGCCCCTATGTCCAAATACAGTCACAGTCTGAGGTACTGGAGGCTAAGACTTCAGCATATGAATTTGGCAGGGACACAATTCAGCCCACAACAGAGGCATATAGCTTTATGGTAAAAGGTCTTACTGAGGAGGCAATTTGTGGTGTAGCTTTTAAAGTTTCATGACATTTTGCTGTTTGACACATAGCAAATCTTAGGCCTGTAAGACTCACTAGGGCAGGGCTCATATGTGCTTTGCTTAATTACTGTTATATGCAGAGTCTGGAACATCATCAGTGTCTACCAGTGTTGATTGGATGAATGAGTAAATGAATGTCAAGCTTCTTTGGTAACATGAAGTCAACCTACGTACTTATTTTTTTGCATGTATTTCATTACTTACCCGAGGCGTGCATTTAATAAAGTGCCTGAAATTGCCAAGTTCATTATCATACAGAAGTCAAAGGCAATGGGTAAAAATCATCCCAATTCTCTACTCACCATGAAATAACAAACACACAAGCACTAGATAGGACTTTCTTTCTTTCTGAGGGATATACACATATTATTTTCAGTGTTTACAAATGGTCAGGGTTTTTCACGGCTATCTAGTTGTGTGATTTACTACGTCTTCAGCACTTTTTACAGTTGAAAACTCTAGTATGATCCTTGGACCTGGGAACATGGGGACCTGTTCTGTGAGTATGAATACTTTACACCTATTAAGATGAGCCAGGCTGTGTGGACAGAGTCATTGGGAATATTAAAGCGCTGTCAGTGGTCTCCACTTCTAAGTACTGTTTGGGGGTCTACTTAACTGAAACTGCAGACATTCTACTTTGATTCTATGCATTCACCATTCACTGAACACACAAAAGTGCACATACATGCTCCTTACTGAAAACATATTTATTTTATTTCTACTCTGGTTTGTGAATGAAGAGCTCTGTCTTACAAAGAAGCAAATATTGAATTATAAGTATTTTAGGCAAAGAAAGAATCTTCATCCAATGAGAATAGAACAGTTTTTTCAAATATTTGCTATCTTGTTCACAGTCACAGGGAGGGACAACTGGCCCTTTCTGTGTCCCCTGAAGTTAAATCATTTAAAAGTTCTAGTAAGCAATGAATGTTATGCCATGGAGGAAAGGTTCGTGAAGAGAGTTATTTAACCTTCCCTAGTATTCTGATATCTTTGAAACAACTTTTGTGGTTTAGAAGTATGATAACTACTCATCAATGTAAAACTTAACTGAGAATCAGGGAATAAACAACTTTTGGCTTCTGAGCAACAAGAGGCGATGCTGGTGCTTGTGCTTACTATCCATACATATTCATACACAGCAGCCAGGGCTATAAAAATAATCTTTTTATGACAATCCAATGTAATATTTGAAGTTTATGATAATATTTTGTTTATATATTAACTTTCTGATTTTTTTTAAAGGAGGAAAAAACAAGGCAGTGCATAATACATTGTAGAAAAATTCTGCTCCAGATGGTTACCATTTAAAGGGAAAACTGTTAGCCATCAGAAATAGTGCATTTGTCAAGTTATCTGGCAAAGTAATGATGTATTTAGGGTAGGAGTTGTACAAAAGTGTTCTCCAGAGCCCATCCCTAGGACTGCCCTGCTTCTCTGAGAGGAAGACCTTAACTGGCTGCATTACTATGGGGATTCGGAAATTCTAAATGACTTCTCACCCCCTGCCTCGAAGCCTCTGCCGACTTGCCACTCCTAGGCAAACGCCCGTCCTCCAGCAACTCCCCTGCCCCCCCAGCCCTTACTACATTATGCCCACTCCTCCTCTGTGCCTATTCCACCTCTGCACACTTTGTAAAATATATTCCTTAAGAACCTGTGAAATGCCAGACCTGTGCTGGCACTAGGATAGAGAAATCATTAGCCAAGACTTGTTTCTGCTTTCCAGAGCTGTCCCATCGATTAAGCTGGCGGAATCCCTTGTCCTGAGAAACTCAGATTCTCAGGCCTCTCCGCGGCACTTCCCTGCTCCCACACCCCGATGAGAACTTGGTTTCTCCTTAGAGATATCACTTCCTTCAAAAGCCTTTCCTCCGGAAGACCAGTTCTCCCAGTTCACTGGTGATGCCATGGAGTCTAGGAATGTGTTTTCTACTGTCCCTTCCCCACCAGGCCCACCATTTCCTTCCAGTCCCTCCTTCCTGTATCAGTTTAGCTTGGGATGCTGTAACAAAGTACCCCAGGCTGGGTGGTTTAAACAAGACAAATTAATTTCCTCAATGTTCCAGAGGCTGGAAGTCTGATATCAAGGTGTTGGCAGTGGTAGCTTCTTCTGAGTCGTCTGTTCTTGGCTTGTAGACGCTCCCTCCTCTCTGCGTTCACTTGGTCTTCCCTCTGTGTGTGTCTGTGTCCTAATCTCTTCTTATAAGGACACCAGTCCTATTGGATTAGGGTCTACCCCGGTGGCCCATTTTACCTCAGTTACCTCTGTGAAGGTCCCATCTCCAAATACAGTCACCTTTGGAGGTAGTGGGGACTAGGACTTAAACATATGACTTTTGGGGGACACAATTTAGCCTATAACACCTCCTCTGATGTTGGTGACATCTGTTTATACCTGCTTCTTCTCATCTCTACCCACATCATCTACTGACCTTGAAGATGCCCTTCCTTTGCCATAGCCTGACACACCAACTTCACATTTTTTCTTTCCAGCTGCCCCCATCTTCATTTTCGGTGACAGCACCATCCGTATCAAGGGCACATGCCCTGTCCCTTTTTTCATTCCATTTCCTCAATCCCATGTGTAGGATTTCTGCTCCGTCTCCCAAGTCATTGAGTTCTCTTTTTCCTCTGAGGTCTTGGTCACGGTCCCCCCATGCTTAGCCCCCTTCTTTTCCTCACACTCTGCCTCCCCTCCCAGCCACTGAACCTGCTTTTGTCCTTCATCTTCCTGTCCCTAGACCACTCTCAGTTCTCACAGTCTCAGCCCCTTTCCATTGTCATCCCCCTTGTGATGGATTTTACTCATTTCAATTTCTAACCGTCAGTAATCTCTACCATATGTTTTCTCTCCTCTGTGGCTCCATGGTTTTGAAGCTAAAACAGAACTGAAGTTTTCTACCACCAATTCCCGGTTTCTTCTTCTCTGGCTTTCCTGCACTGCTGCTTCTCCACATTCAGAGTCATCAGGTGGGAACCATCACAACTTGCCTTTTTCCCATGAGTATTTCCTAGTACGTTCCTACTATTCTTTTCCCCTTCCTTCCTGTCATAGAATATGAATTATCCTTTTTTCCCAAAGGACGATTTCTCTACCATTTCTTCTGTACCACAGACAGATAAACACACACACACACACCCCTACCTTCAAAAGCTGTTTCTGTCTCATGTATCTGTTCTCTTCCCTCTGGCTCTACATTCCTTTCCTGTTGACATAAATGGCCTGGGTGGTTACCCACTCTAAAATCCCTTTCCAGACTCTGATATTCCTAGAGATAATTTTCAAGGCACTGTTGAGCAGGGAGTTTCAACTTTGGCACTATTGCCCTTTGGGGCTGGATAGTTTTTTCTGTTGTGAGTGATGTCCTGTGCATTGCAGGATATTATGCAGCGTCTCTGGCCCTGACCCATGACCCACAGATACCAGTGGCACCATTCCCCCAACTTGTAACAACCAAAAGTGTCTCCAGACATTGCTGAACATCCCCCAGGGGTGAGAATCCCCCCCACCCCGCAGTTGAGAACCACTGGTGTAGATGTAAAGAGGGTAGACTTTGCCAGATCATCTCTAGCCAACAGTGCTGCTTACAGAGAATATCCAGCTATAGCTTTAGAATATAGTCTGCACATATAGAATATAATACTTGGAGAACAGAAAGAGGTTTGTACCT